AAGCAAGTGCCAGAGGTTCCGTAAAGAGTACAAGATGTTTGAAAAAAGTACTATTACTTCAAGCTAATAGCCATGTGTATGGTAGCCTCCCAGAACTTTTGGCTAAGTTATTACAATTGCTTCCACCAACTGCATTAGAAAAGGTATGACTAACTTCCAGAATTTGTACAGTATTTTCTTTTTATATAAGCTACTGCAGTAATTTTTGGTTTAGACATCAGAAATAGTGCTAGATTTAGAAAAACAAAGTTTAGATAGAATATTTGATAGTTTAAGGAAGTTTGGCATCTAGTAAATATTATAGATTATTTATTTAATCTGAATGTAAAGCTGGAGTTGTAAGTTATGCATGATAATTCAAAACGGTTTAGAATCATAAATTTCCAAAGCGTTATTTTCAATTTGTGTTTCTAGATTTTACATAATTGAGCGATCAGCTGAATAGTTTGTGTCTACCAGGTATTTGTGTAATGAGGCAGGGTATTACTGTATATGTTCTTCCTATGTATATATTGAATGTTAAACTTTAACTGTTCTTATTTTTATTTGGCAGATTATAAAGGATGAAGATATCCAGAATGATCTGGCAAGACAAAACACACAAGAATACAGGATACTTCTTAACTGTATCAAAGACAGTCTCACTGGGAGTGCCATAAGAGATGCTGTGAAAAAATTGTCAGTTGCAAAAGAAGAGGTATCAGAATTTAATCCTCATAATGATGAGGAAAGCCATTGCAGTCCTAATTCCTCTGCAGAGCATGGTAGCCAGATAGATACTTCTGATATAACAGTTCATGAAGAGATGGATATTATTCAAGTCAATGGTAAACTCTGGACAGTCAAGAAATGTGCAAGTGTTCCAGTTGATGTCAAGAATTTAAGTTGTATTGAGTCTTTATCTGAAGACAGTGCTGAGGAAGGTCTTGCAGATGATATGGAACAACAGGAGTCATCCTACTTTAGGCATGAAAATGAAATCATAGTTCACAATGGAAAAGTATGGGAAGTAAAACCTACAAGAGTGTTGCCTGTGAATTCTCAAGATATTCTAACCGATGACAGTGAGTATGACTCACAAATGGAAGATCCAAGAATTACAGAAGAAAGATATGAGGATTCTGAAATTAGGGAATTAGAAGAACTGATAAGGACAATGGAAAAATATGTAACAAAACTTAAATATAAATTAAAGATCATGAAGGATAGACGGGGAACTCAGAGATACAGACCCCAAACTCCAGATGAAGATCAAGGGCATTTTGAACCAAAGACAAGAGGTGGGAGTGAAATGGAAAGACATTCATTACAACAGAGATCCCCAAGTCATGATGGAAGATCATCAAATTTTAACAATGTGGAGGGCAAGCAGTGTACTGTAGGAGCTTCAAGTGAAGATTGTGAAACTCTCAGGCTATCTAGCAGCATTTCTAGTAGTACAGTTAACCAGCAAAACCAGGATTTAGATAAAATAAGACAGATACTTTGTGAAAAGCTAATAGACAAAAATACAGCAAAGTCTGGATGTCAATGATCTGGCAAGACAAAACACACAGGAATACAGGATACTTCTTAACTGTATCAAAGACAGTCTCACTGGGAGTGCCATAAGAGATGCTGTGAAAAAATTGTCAGTTGCAAAAGAAGAGGTATCAGAATTTAATCCTCATAATGATGAGGAAAGCCATTGCAGTCCTAATTCCTCTGCAGAGCATGGTAGCCAGATAGATACTTCTGATATAACAGTTCATGAAGAGATGGATATTATTCAAGTCAATGGTAAACTCTGGACAGTCAAGAAATGTGCAAGTGTTCCAGTTGATGTCAAGAATTTAAGTTGTATTGAGTCTTTATCTGAAGACAGTGCTGAGGAAGGTCTTGCAGATGATATGGAACAACAGGAGTCATCCTACTTTAGGCATGAAAATGAAATCATAGTTCACAATGGAAAAGTATGGGAAGTAAAACCTACAAGAGTGTTGCCTGTGAATTCTCAAGATATTCTAACCGATGACAGTGAGTATGACTCACAAATGGAAGATCCAAGAATTACAGAAGAAAGATATGAGGATTCTGAAATTAGGGAATTAGAAGAACTGATAAGGACAATGGAAAAATATGTAACAAAACTTAAATATAAATTAAAGATCATGAAGGATAGACGGGGAACTCAGAGATACAGACCCCAAACTCCAGATGAAGATCAAGGGCATTTTGAACCAAAGACAAGAGGTGGGAGTGAAATGGAAAGACATTCATTACAACAGAGATCCCCAAGTCATGATGGAAGATCATCAAATTTTAACAATGTGGAGGGCAAGCAGTGTACTGTAGGAGCTTCAAGTGAAGATTGTGAAACTCTCAGGCTATCTAGCAGCATTTCTAGTAGTACAGTTAACCAGCAAAACCAGGATTTAGATAAAATAAGACAGATACTTTGTGAAAAGCTAATAGACAAAAATACAGCAAAGTCTGGATGTCAAACTCCTTATAATGAAATGAAACAATCCAGAAATAATATAAAAATGCTTTCTCAATTAAAACCTGAAATTATTACTTATGTGTCATCATCATCTCAAGAAGACAATGGGGATGATTGTGATAATTCACAGTGTTTTCAGAAGGTTGTTAATAATATGAATGTTATACCAGAAACTCCTGAACTTTCAGAAAGACAATTTAAAGAAGAACCAGATACATTTTTAGAGGAACCAGAATGGAAAAACACAGACAAAGAAAATCTGAAACCAAAGACACCATATATGTCTACAGCAAATTTCTTAAAACATGAATGTAATATGCACACAGATGAAGGTACTGATAGTGATACTACATACTATACTCTTTGTGACCAGAGTGCTGTGAATCCTGAAATGGGAGACAAAATGAGTATATGCAGTTTGAAATCCAAAGGTAAAGCTTTAGATAAATCTAAAGGTAAAAAGCAAGTGAAAGAAACTTGTGAACTTGTAAGTCATGATGAAGTACTGCAGAAAAGAGACAAATACAAAAGAAAATTGGCAAATATTGCTAAGGAAGTAGAAGACTTAACAGATTCAGATGACCTTGCTTCCCGGGTCAAAATGAGCCCAAGAAAATGTTCGACCACATCATCGAGAAATCAGGCCACGGCTAACATTAACTCATCTACAAAGTGCTGTCAAAAAAAGGCAAAAGTGTATGATGAATTTTTGGACAAAATCAATGAGATTGAGGAAAGAGATAAAGTTATTGATGTGTCCGAAGATACAACGTTACAAGATGAAGATGTTTTCCACACCCCAATGAACAGTCCAGAACCAGCACCAAAGCGTGCCAGAATTTGTAATGAAAAAGAAGTTTCTCCAGTTACTGATGTAACAGCAAGCACAAGCAATGCACAGGTGAATTTTCTTAGTTATTGAAAGTAAGACAATATCTATGTTTGGCATTTTTCAACAAAGCATGATTGACATATAACACTCCACTGAAAGACATTGGGATGATGCATTGATTGATATTGCTTGAAATAGATATGCATGTGAAACCTGGGCATGTTTACAAGTTATGTCAACAAATGGCACTACTGGTAATGCTAATGTTACTTTTGTATATTTATGCAACAATAATAGTAGAGGTCGTTGCACTTTTTATTTTTACATATTTCATTTTATTTTATTAATTTATTTTCTTCTTTGAACACGTTGCAGCTGGGGATGGCATGTATGTACATGCTATTCTCATTTTTTTTAAATTGCTTTTACATATAGATGGCTCCACAAGTACTAAGTCACCAGTTACTAGTACCACTTATCTCACTTGTTTACCATTTTCCTTAATGTTTAGAAATATTAAAAATATGCATTTCCCTGGCAACATGATTTTAACAGATAGGATGTATTGAATGACAGCCACAAGCAAATCTTAATCTCTGTATTTTTCATTTTTGTTTTTAACAAATGTCCCACCAATCCCATACTCATCATGTTGAGCTTAGGAGACAGAGACCGAGTCCTAATGATAGGGAACACTCATACCTTGGGTCTCAGCTATCAATTTGATAATTTTGCATCTTCCCCTCCCCTTTTCCCTCTCATCTCTAAAGCTCTCTGTTGTTCATTTCCTAAGGTGTGAGAGCTGTGTTGAAAGAATGAAAGGCTGACTTTGTACCAGTCATGTACAGGCTAGGGGAGCCATGGGCATGGTATTCTCCTGTTTAGTTGTATTGCCCTTACCCCTCAAGGGGACCCTGAGGGGCAGACTCAACATACAGCAGGCATACCAACTGATTTGAATTCCCCTGGTTCCCTGATCCCAGGCTCTCTTTTGACTACGACTGAACACTTCTACTACCCTCTCCTCGATACCTGGTGTCTCCAATACCTGGCCAATAATGATTTATTAGGGGCAGTGGGGCTTGCCTCTTTATCGATTAGCCCTACTGATTGTAATTCTCCCGGTTCCCTGAACCCAGTCTCTCCTTTGACCACAACTGAACACTACTATTAGTCCCTCTTCATTGCCTACAGTTCACAATACTGCTTCACTCACCACCACTTCCTCTTCCACAAGTACTTTGTTTAGCATAGCCAAATGGGATCATTGTTTTGTGATCCCCTCTAAAACCCTTACTCTGTCAATACTCTCCTCCTTCAGCAATGCCTCCAAGTAGGCAAAGTTTTCTTGCCCAGCCACCCTGATCACTCCTGTCTTGTCAGTTACATCTGAATCCCAAGCTAAAGCATTATCTACCCTGACTGCCAGATGTATTTTATAAGGACTACCCTGTCTACATGTTTAAGTCTGAGTTGGCAATTCTCAGGTTAAAACTTGGCATCACTTTATTTGAGGCCAGATAGAAAGCATGCAGACAAGGTTTTTCTCTCACCCCCTACTTCAGTTGTCCTTTGCTCAGCCCCTCCCCTTTCCACCCAAGATGTTTCTACATCCCCACCAGTATCTCTTCCTTATCCCACTGCTATCTCCTCCCTTTCCCAGTCAAATTCTTTTTCCATTTCCAATCCAGACACCCCAGTCTCTACCACTGTTCTGAATCCAGATGCTCCAATCTCTACTTCTACTCCTCACTTGATTCACATAAGATAAGCTAAATGTTCCACCTCATCTCTTACCACAGTCTCTCCTACATCAGCCTCTTTCTCTGCCCCTCAAACGTCTGTCCCTTCTCTTCTACCCAATAAGAAAAATCTTTGTTAATCAGACCTCCCCAACCAAGGCCACTTTGGAAGACATTTGAATCTAATCATGACCCAAGATAACATGCCTACACCTCATCCATCCTCCAATCTCTCTGCTCCCATTCCCTTTACACTCAAAGTAACCGCTGACTTCCATCTTCCTCCTACTCATGTTTCCTTTACACCCCTTTCCCCCACTCCCTCCCAACACATCCCATTCCCCCCCTGCTTTATCTACATCCTCCCCCTTCCCAGTTATCCCTTCTGCTTCCTCCTAGGTACGTATGTGACTCTTTTGTCACAACCCTTGTCCCTGGATTCTCTCCTTCCTGACATTTCTCCTGAAACTTCTCTTTGATCTAATCACCCCTAAACCCCTGTTTTTATATTTGCTAACCCCTACCTTACCCTATGGACATCGTTGCAGAATCCCACCCTTTCCTTGACAACTTTGATCTAAAATCACCCTTGTTAACCCATCTTAGTCCATTTACTCACCCTTGCTACCCTCACCCCTCTTTGCCCCTTTCAATGCCATACCATCCTTGAACTGCTCTACAAATTTCTCATGTGTAGCACATTTAATTATCAGTACACCTCCACCCCTTTTAACCCTTTTCATTACTACACCTTTCTTTAATGCTATGTGACCTTTGATGTCTAGCATATTTATTTTGCTTTGTATTATTATTAATGACTTATTGATACTTCTGTTGCTTTGTATTATTATTAATGACTTATTGATACTTCTGTTGTCCTATTTGGCCCCTTGGTCATCTTCAGACACAATTGAACATGGGTCCAAATTAAATAGTGTGTATGAATGACTACAATTTCTTGAATAATTACTTATCTGCTTGAAGGAGGAGAGTTAGATACATTTTTTATTTTTATTGTGATTTTTTCCCCAGTCATTCTTAGGATACATGTAAGTATCTTTGAAAATACAAAATTCAGCTTTTTTGCTTTCATTTTTTTACTAATTATAATATAATAATCAAAAGAAGGGAAGTTAAAAATCAGACATGTATCATTTAAGTTGAAGAAAATGGATCAGGTGGCTTAACAGAATGCACTTTTGATAAATATAAGTTGGTGTTTTAAGTGGAAATTTAATGTTTTGTAGTTTCCATCACAGTCTGGAATGTTCAATAAGAGAGTGTAGAGTTTCTTTGGCTTATTCATTTTTCCCTGAGGTAAACCATAGAAATACCATTCATCACAAAAGTAAGAAATCTTTATATGACCCCAAGATTCTTATTTTACTGCCATAGGTAGCATTACAACTTCATCAAATCTTTACCTAAATCAAACTCCAGAATTTATGTCTCAGTTGATTTATGGACATTACTAATCAAAATCTTCTCAAAGCTCCTGCAGACCTAAGTAAATTAAATTTTGATTAGATACTGTCAAATAGAAGAGACTGGGCTGAATCAATTAATGAAGGAACAATGTGTAAAGTATTCTTTGGAGTTCTTTGCATCTTTTGTACAATGTGAAATTCAAGTTATTAGAGAAAATGGGGATCTTAATCTTTTTATGGTTTGAAAAATGAAAGTATTTATCGTGGTGTTATAAACTTCACAACATAAAATTAATTATTAGCAGAAGTACAAAACATTTACCATGATTGTTAAATGTGTTCTAATTATTTAAAAAATATTGTTTTAAAAAGAATAGTGAATAACTAATAAAGATATGGAATGGTATCATTTAAGGCAGGAATGGTGTCTCTTCTAACACTGACGGAATATTGAACTAGTTTACTGATATTTATTACAAAAAAAAATAAAGAAACCAGTTCTTTCAGAATAATAATACTTTTTCTTCATTAAGTAGAAAGAAGTTAAAGATATATTAAAATTTGTTTCAAAATATATATTTACATTTTAGCAAAACTGTTTCATATAATCAGTTGGTGTCTGAATTATGTACCTGATTTTTCTTCTGCTTTTACTATACATAAAACTTGTTACATATTAATAGAGAAACTATATGATTTCATATTTTTAAGGCAAAAATGCCTTAGTCTACAGGTATGAAAATATGATGAGCATGATAACTTATACAACAAATATAGGATTAATTATTAACCATGGCTCAATATAATTTGAACCAAAATAAACATTTTATATGTTATTCAATTGTGAATATAATTAGAACACTTAATTACATTTTCACTTTAGGTTTTCCAGAGTCAAACAGCACATCATCCGCCAGTTCAGGACTGCAAGGTTCTCCTAAAGTTCAGTTACTGGGTAAGAACCTTTGTGAACTGCAAACATGTGTGTGTATGTGCTTGCGGGTGTGTGCGTATGTGCATGCGGGTGTGTGCGTATGTGCATGCGGGTGTGTGCGTATGTGCATGCGGGTGTGTGCGTATGTGCATGCGGGTGTGTGCGTATGTGCATGCGGGTGTGTGCGTATGTGCAAGCGTGTGTGCATGTGTGAGCATGCATGTGCATATGTGTGTGTGTGTGTGTGTGTGTGTGTGTGTGTGTGTGTGTGTGTGTACACATATATACACACATACACACACACACACACACACACACACACACACACACACACACACACACACACACACACACACACACGTATGTACATATGCACACACATACACACATGCACACACATACACACATGCACACACATACACACATGCACACACATACACACATGCACACACATACACACATGCACACACACATGCATGCAGACATGCACATACACACCCATACATATATATATACACTTGTATACACACACACACACACACACACACACACACACACACACACACACACACACACACACACACACACACACACACACACACACACACACACACACACACACACACACACACAACCCCCCCCCCACACACACACACACGCGGAAATGCACATACACACCCATATATATATATAATATATATATATATATAATATATATATATATAATATATATATATATATTATATATATATATATATATATTATATATATATATATTATATATATATATATATAATATATATATATATATAATATATATATATATATATATATATATATATATTATATATATATATATATATATATATATATATATATATATATATATATATATATATATATATATATATTATATATATATATATATAATATATATATATATATATATATATATATATATATATAATATATATATATATATATATATAATATATATATATATATATATATATATATATATATATATATATTATATATATATATATAATATATATATATATATATATATATAATATATATATATATATAATATATATATATATATATATATATATATATATATATTATATATATATATATATATATATATATATTATATATATATATATAATATATATATATATATATATATATATATATATATATATATATATATATATATATATATATATATATATATATATATATATATATATATATATATATATATATTATAGTTTACCTGTAACATAACCTATATACCATATAATAAATCTGTACTGCTTGTTATCAGCCATATCTTTCTCTCTTTTCAGGTAGATAAAAAGAAGTACGCCATTTATAAGTGAAGATATGACTAAAGAGGAGCAGGCTTCTTCGAATTGCGTCAGATATGTCTTTTGAGTCTTTTATATTTCTATAACTCAAATTTTCTATTACCCCTTTTAGAGTGCATGATGAGCAGCGACAGTCTCATCACTGCAACTATTACCATTATTTAGATTTTACTTTAGATTTTGTTTAATCAGAATATTATTATTTGAACTGTTGTTTTCATTATATCTGGATTTATGCAAGAAAATAAATATAGACATTTATTCATAAAATAATTATGCACTTTTTCTTATGCTGCATAATTTGCCAATATAAGCAAGATGTGTCACATAAAATTTAGTCCTAAACTATTGTAAGTTATCTTGACAACGTGTATAGGAAAATGTGAATGATATTAAATCATACTAAATGTATTTATTGCTATTCTTTCCAATTGTTTGTATGGTCTGTCTATTGTTTTTGTGTTTGACACGGCATAACTATGCTTTTGGTTTCTGTTTGACAAAATTAGGCAGATATACTAGCATAAGTTTGTACAAGCCTCTATGTTTAGGAAAATAATAAAATAAGAAAAATATACACATTAATCATATCCCTGCAAAATATTTCCTCTTATGCATTTTTATCAAATTTAATATGGTTCATGACTTACCCTCTTCCTATGGATGATTAAGGGTTCATGTCATGGCTGATTTAGCTCTGGCTCTGGGTGACGGGTCATTCGCATCATAGCCAGCTTGGGCATGGTTCTGGGCCACAGGACATTCATATCATGTTAGAGTGATGCATGCATTACATTTTATGTTGTTCTGTATAAGAAACCCTCATGCCTATGCTACATGCCCATGTACATTGCAAGAGGGAGAACAGGATGTGCAATACTATGATGACTATTGTTTTGTATAAAGGGTGAATTTTAGCACATAAATAATTTGGAAGATGACATGCACCAAAACATGGTGCTTTCTTGATGCTGATTTGACCCTGTCAGTATCCTATACTCTAGTTTATGTGATCAGTAACCTTGTGTCAACTACTCACCTTGTATTTTGGCACTCTACCAGTATTATTGTCTTGAAGTATGACATACAAAAAGGAAGTACTGAAGCCATAGTAGTATACTATCTCTTAATTTGCAAAAATAAAATTAGCATTTTTATCCCTCTAATACCTTAATAAAACCACATTCCAGTACAGAGAATGTAACATACCTTATTTATTGAAATGGCCTCTAATGTACATAATCAGGCTACTACAGCTTCAATTTAGCAAACTGCATATCATGCATCTCCAAATATGCAAAACATTAAAATCCTGTTTTGCATACAAGTGATGAATGATAAAAAAACCCACTGGTACTGTTCATACTATACCAAATACTCCCAGAGGCATTGGGTCAACATCCTCGGTATCCATGATAAATCTTTCTTTTTAGTATCACTGATATATCTGTATAACGAAAATTCCCATCAATTTGAATTATGAACATTTTCATTTTTTCACCTGGTTCAATACTTTGTTTCCCCTATGAAAAATATTGCTAGCTGTCCCTTGTGGTAATACTTCTAGTGAAATCCTGAATAACTAGAATGTGGACAGTGGTAGGAAAGAAACTCTTTCATTTTCAATACATTCATTACAACAGAAAAGAAAACTGAGCAGCTGTCAATTTCCTCATCTTTCTGTTTTTCATATATCCACAGAGAAAAACAACAAATACAGCATTTTTTCTGTATCAACATATTGTATCAGATTTTTTTTTTTTTTTTTTTTACATATTTTGCAAGTTACATAAAAAATACTGCAAAATTTAAAGGTAAAAATACCCTTCGATTGAGAATACCATAAGCACAAAAATATTAGCAATCAAGAACTGAAAACTTGATAACCTATCAAACTAGATTCCAGGGGGAGTATTCATGAAAGGGCTATGATTGTTATTTGCAATTTCATCTATGATTTGTGCTGATGCCACATGTCAGAGTTAATGCTGCTAATTAGAACCAACATTTACATCATTATAGCCCTATCTTGATAATATATTGCAATAATAAGGTAAATATTGCAATAAATTTTATATTATGATGGTAAAATTACACCTTTATTATATCTAAATGTAATGTGACATCAATGTCTCTTGTCATCATTTGTAAAGGTGGGCTGTGATATTTCTATTTCTTTTAAATAGAATAATGTAAAAATGTAGGACATGGCTCAAGGCACAATTGACAACAAATCGAAAGGGCCATCCAAAATTTCCTAATTATTTTAAATGCAGAATAATCTTAAACATGGGAAGAATTTCATGAAGACAAATTAAAGACAGTCCTTATGGACAAGAATTGAAAATATGCAAATGAAGGAAATGACTAAATTTACATTTGACAATATATCACAAGGGGTTTCCAACTTTTTCTTATTATTTTCAATGCATAATTTACTTCAGAATCACATAAATTTGCACTGTGGTCATAAAGACTGTCCATACATGTTTGTGACACTTCCACACCTGTCTTAAAACTTTGGCCGAGTCGTAGACAAAAACTGGCTGTCAAAGACTTTCATGGGGAGTCGTAAACAAATTAACTGAGTCAAAGACAGATGAAGAGAGCCACACACCAATAATGAAGAGTATATTTTGGATTTATTGTCAACCATTCATTGATCCATTTCTTACATATTTTCAACGATTTTCTATTCGAGAATACAAATGGTTCTGTATGCCTTCATAACTGATACAATGAAAACATATGCATGGTTGCCTAAATTACCCTTAAACGTAAGGAATGTGTAATATTACTGGCAAAATAAAAGAAAGATTTATTGTAGCAATCATCATAGTCTATAATGATGTAAATGTTTGTTCTAATTAGCAGCATGAACTTTAAGATGTGGTAACAGAGCAAATCACAGACAAAATCTCAAAGAACAGTCATTGACCTGTCATGAATACTGCCCCTGGTCATACACACTCAGGGCATTCACTACAAATGCTAGGCTCCAGAAGTTTAATGATGATGAATAGTTAAATACAATGACAATGTAAAATGGCTGAATGAAAAAGCCTACTTCTGCAGCATATGACCCCAGCAGTTGGCAGAATAACCTGAACGGAGAACAAAAATAACAGTAAAAACTGTATGGTAATACCATCTTGTACCAAGAACTAACATGATGACTCACAAAATACATCACTTTAGTTGTAAGAAATTATATAAAATGTCAGAACTATGGCAAATGAAACTTTATAATTTACATAAAATAAGCAACTTCTGGTAAGAGAATTTGAGCCCAATATACCCACAATGTGAGCATCTTCTTTAACATATTTTCGTGCCAAACCTTCTTATCGTCCCCTTTTTTTGAAAAAGATAAAAACATGTCAAATTGGCTTCTTTGGTGATCAAACAATATAGACTGTATCTAAACAAACAGCTAATATTCCAAATTCATTTAATCTATTTCAAAATAGATTACATATCACACAATGCCCAATGGCCTATACTGTATATATTCAACTCTACAACTACAATATAAATCTATAAAGCAAATAATAGCAGCAAAATAATACTTCTTAAATATTAACAAAGGTGAAAGGAAAATAGCAGAAACTGTGACAAAGGCCATTTAGGTAATCATAAAAAAGAAATGTACATTTTTTTTTTCCAGAATAAATTTCAAAGGTCTTCTTCATTGTGTCTTCGATAAT